ATCGTACCTCATGGTGTTTCACTAATAAAACTTTAAAAAGAAAAAGAATGAGGTGAATCTATTTAATACTCATTGCAACGAAAACTCCTATGAGCAAACAAACAAAAAAAGCCCCCATTTTATTCCTAAATGCATAAACTTAAACATAAATGCATTTTATTTATTTATTTATTTATTTATTGCTTTTTGGGTCAGACCTGGCGATGCACAGGGATTACTCCTGGCTCTGCACTCAGGAATTACTCCTGGTGGTGCTCAGGGAACCATATGGGATGCTGGGAATCGAACTCGGGTCGGCTGTGTGCAAGGCAAAAGCCCTACCCGCTGTGCTATCACTCCAGCCCCCATAAATGCATTTTAAAGAGGAAAAGAAGATGCTGAGATACTGGTCAATATTTAATGTTCAAATAAAAAAACAATCTGTCTGATTTGCGTTTTATTTTGCGAGGGATTGGGGGGTGGCCGTGCTTAGAGGCCCGGGGACCAAGTCTGGAGAGTCTCTGTCAAGACCAGGCCCGATCTCTCGATGCCACCCAGCCAACCTGCCAAACGGGCTCTTCCATCACCCCTTTACACCCGCTCTATCGGTGAGAAAGGACAGGCCTGAAATCAGCAACCTCTGACCCGAAACTGGATCCTCAGACACTCGGACACACTGCCTTCGCCTTCATGCTGACGTTGACTGGCTCTGACCCTCGTCTTCACTCTGTTCTGAGACTTTCACACACCTCAGGAGGGTTCAGAAGTGGCAAAGTGTGGGTTGGTGATGGAGCCCAACATATCAGGTGCCTCCGTGTGTATGCGTGTTGTGGGGGGGGGCGCTGGGTTCCATCCCGACCCTACACCCCAGAGACATCAAAAGATGGTGAAGTTCGTACCAATAACCGTGCCGAGAAACAGAACTCCAGCCCTTTAGTATAAAACAGACTCAGGAGCACAAAGTCATTCTTCCGGTCAAAATTCTTACTTTGGGTGGTGAGGGCAAAGTAGATTCACAATTCAACTCTTTTAACTATGAAAAGCAAAAGTGCAGTCGAGAGATGGGCTCAAGTGGTAGACTCATGTGGGGAACGGCTCCAGTGGCCCCAGAACCCCAAAGAGTAAACTTGAACCCCATGTCGGTGGAACAGTTTCCTTCTTTCCTCTTTTTTTTTCTGGGCCTCACCAGGCTGTGCTCAAAACTTGTTCCTGACTGCACTCAGGGGTCACTCCTGGAGGCCTTCAGGACCCTATGCCAGGCCAGGGATCAAAGCCCCATCAGCCTCAGGCAAGGCGAGTGCCCTACCAGCTGCTCTCCTAGCTCTCGGGCCCCCATGTTTGCATTGTCATCCACAGACAAACGCTTCGCGCGGGCAGGATGAACCTCTGGACCTCCGAGTCCAAGCTGCGCCTGGGAGCACGCAATCAGGCAGTTACGTGTTCTGGCTGCGAGGCTGATGCTGGTGGTGCCAGCTGGACTCACACGGAGACACGGTGGGAGGCGATGGGGAGGGGAGGAGTTACACCATCACAAAGCAGTAACAGGACACACTGGAAAAAGTCCCTTTTCCCTCGAAACCACTCAGGAGACAGAGAACCGCAAAGCACACGCTGACTCCGGCATGGGCCTTCGCTCACACCCAGAAGTGTCACACTGCTGAAACGAGGCCTCTGGCAGAGCTCACCACGGGCACCGCGGCTGGCCTGGGACGCGACTCCGGTTCCAGGCACAAGATGTTCTCAGACACAGCAAACACACAAGCCCACGGAATCCGGGACTCAGGCAGCTGATTTTTCTCCTGGTGCCACGGCAGCGGCGGTGGGGACACAGACAGGAGACTTATTACCAAGAGTGATGGCATTTTTGCCAAATCAGAGCCTAAACCGAGGACATGGAAAAACAGGATAAAATATCAGAGGGACTGCATTAGTTCATACTTCACCCTGAACAGAGACAAAGCTTGTTTGCTATAAAAGCCACAACTTCAGAAGTACTCGTGTAGGTCATTGAGAGAAAAGAAATGAGGGCTGAGCAGTGCCTGCCCAAACAGCCCCCCACTGCCACGCACTCCCACGGTCCGAAATTGCTGCCACGGCCCCCATGGGCAAGACTCCATCTTCGCGGGATGGACCCCGTGGAGAAATTAAATGGATGCAAACTCAGGTATACAGGATTCGTGACTGAAATCTCCAGACTTTTTCAGAGTTGGGATGGGCTACCTCCCCCTCCCCCATGTCCTTGTACTTCCAGAAGCCCCAGCAGCTTTTGGACATCCACACTCCAAAGCTGCCACCCAGACAAAACATCAACTCCAGTAGTACCTTCCCGACAAAAAGACTTAACTTTCTGACATCTCAAACTCTAAAACACTGATAAACCAGTAGTAGCACACCAGATTGGAGAAGGAACCAATCTCGGTTAACAAAACAAACACAGGAGGCTGAACCTATCACAACATTTTACAAGGACTCAATGTCTCCATAAGAAACAACAATTTATTGATTGGCCCGTGGTTGGAGGCCTGCCCCAAGCGCGGGGGAGAAGGCAGTTGGGAGAGAGAAGGGATCATAAGGACAGTGACAGTAAGAAACGATCACTGGGTAAGATCTGAGTGCTGAAAATCCCGTAAGGAACAGAACACGATGACCTCTCTGTGCCCGAATTGCAAACCATCACGCCCCAAAGGAGAGAGAAAGAAGAAAGGTGCCTGCCTCTAAGGCAGGGTGGAGGGGTGGCGGGAGGGAACTGGGTGGGAAACATACGCTGGTGGAGGGATAGGGGGCGGGAACATGGTGCGACTGAAACCGGATCTTGAACAGCTTTGCAATGGTGCATCCAATGAAAGGAACTTCAAGGAAATAAGTGAGGGCTGGGAGGGTCGGCCCCCTGGGGTTTGCATGGGGCGGGGGAGGCAGGTTCCACCCCGGCACCGCAGTAGTTCCCCCCATCACCGCCAGGGGTCCGTAGTGAGCGGAGCCAGGAGCAGTACCTGCGCTCCAGGTGTGCCCCGGTCCGCAATACAAAGAGAGAGAGATGAGAAGAGTGGGGTGGGCAGGGGAAGAGGCGACAAAAGCCGAAGAAAAACAAAACAAGAAAACAAAACAACAAAAAAACACCAAACTGCGGGAGAAAGGAAAACAGTCTGAAAGAGCCCGAGAGAGGGGGGCGCACCCTCTGCGCCCTCGGAGACCCGGGCAGGGCTCTGCACGGAGGCGCGCTTGCACGCGGGCGGGAGCGAGCCGGCCAAAGGGAAACAATGTTGCAGCGGGCCGGGCACCAGGCGGCGCTCGCGACACTCAGCTCGCGGCCCGCCAGCTCGCGGGCTCCCTCAGGGCTGAGCTCTGTCCCCACGTGGCACAGGTCAGCCCTGCGCATCCTCGCGCTGCCCCGCCTGCACTTGCACAAAGGGCCACGCTGAGCCCCCGCGAGGCCCCGCGAGCGGGCACCAAGAGGGACCGCTGGTTTCCCGACAAGAACCCAGAAAAATCCTTTCTGGTCTTCTCGGAGCAGGGACTGCGGGTGGGGAGCGAAGGGGGGTGGCAGGGGTGGGGAGGGCGGTGTTGCGGGAATCTGGGCTTTCTGCAATTTCTCCAGGAGGGTCCAAAGCCCCCACTCCCCACCCCGGCAGCCACTGGGTCAAAGTTCCCTCTCCCAGAGCAGTGGGGGGTGGCTCCCTCTCGGGGCGCCAAGGTTTGGAACTCGGAGCTCCACCTGGGAGCTGGAGGGCGAGGGCGAAGTGTCCTGAAATCAGGAAAAGTCGGGGCGGCCACCCCCCACCCCTCCTCGGGGCTGAAGCTGGGGGGCTCGCCCGCCCGCGCCCGCTCGCCCCAGGCACGCGGGGGTCACTCGGCCGGCCAGGGAGAGCGCGTGGGAATGAGCAGATGGAGCGGGAGCCCCCGCCCCCCACCCTCTGCCCCGAGGCGCGGGGAGGGGGGCTGCGCCCCGGCCCTTAACTCGGCAGCCCCGTTGGGCTATTCTTCGGGCCCATCCCGGGCGCTGGTTCCCAAGGAGGCCTGGACTGGCTCATGTTTTAAATGCTGAATGTCTTAGTCAAAAGTGAAGCGTCATGAAAACACAAGGGCCACCCTCTCACCGCCCACTTGGGGTCCTGGCTGACACGCCCCAGATCTGCCTCCGGGCACCATCTCAGGCCATCAACAGCCTTGATCCTGAGCCGCCCAAAGGAATCTCAAAATAGATTAGCTCCCTACAGAGATGTCTCTGGACCCTAACCATTTACAATTTTAGAATTCCAGAAGACCTCTCATGATATTCATAATAGGCAATAGAAAATAAATGATCTAGTATCTGCCTCTGGCAGGCAGGCTTGAATGGTGGTGGGGAAATTTGAAATAAGCGTGGTGAGAAGGTGTAATAGTGGTGGGATTGGTGTTGAAATATTGAATGTAATCAAATAATGTGAACAACCCTTTGAAACAACAAAAACAACAACAACAAAACCCAACAAGGGCCAGAAAAATAGTATAGGTATTTGCTTTGTACCCCACTGACCTGGGTTGGATCCCCGGCACCCCACATGGTTCCCCAAGCCGTACCAGGAGTGATTCCTGAGTGTAGAGCCAGGGGTAAGTCCTGAGCACCACGGGGTGTGGTCCCCAAACTAACAACAAAAATAAAACATAACATGGAAGCAACACAGCAAAGAAATATTACCTAATTCTCCTGGGCCCTTTCGTCCTCATCTGCTTGAGAATCAGAATTACCTTTCAGTTGAAAACAAAAAGAGTGAGTGTAGGTCTTTGAAAATGTGCCTTTTTGGGGCAGCAACAGTTCAGGAGGTAGGGGGTTAGATCTCTGGTCCCCTGAATGTCCCCTGAGCAGGGTGATCCCTGAGCAGAGCCAGCAGTAAATTCTGAGCACCGCAAGGTGTGACCCCAAAACCAAACTAACCCCCATCCCCAAAGTGCCTTTTCGCCTTGTTCTGGGCTCTTATTTTGGCGCCAGTGTTGCGGACCCAGGGACGCTACCTCGAGCCCATGCTCCAGGCAGGTGCCCAAGTTCACCCTCCTGTGCAGCCAGCTGGGGGAGGGGCGGCGGGGCAGGGGGGCTGGTGCCCCCGGAGGTGTGGGGGAGGGCGGAGAGCAGGCACCCCTCAGCGGTAGCATTTTACCTGCCCAGCTCTCGAGCTGCCTTTTGTTCTCTTTGAGTTGAAGCTCCAAGATTTTGACCTTGAGCTCCAGCTTCACCTTGTCAGATTCCAGGGACTGAACAACTGAATGCAAGGACTTGGCAGAGGCATTTTCTCCCCTGAGCAAGGAGACCTGCAACACAGGGGTGTGGCTTAGGCCCACGTGGCCGTGGCTGGGACCCCCATGTGGGCGTGGCCTGGGCTGACATGGGAGTGGCTCAAGCCGGAGTGGGCATGGCTCAGGCCAATGTGGGCGTGGTTCAGAGAGATGGGCGTGGCTCGGCCCCATGTAGGCGTGGCCCGGGCGGAGATGGGCGTGGCTCGGGTCCACGTGGGCGGGGCCGGGACTCGACCCCCATTTCTCAGCTTCTCCAGCTCTGCGTCCCTCTCCCTGAGCAAAGCACTGATAATACTGATGAATTTCTGTAGGGAAGCTTTCTCTTCATCGGAGTCTCTTATGAACTCGGATTCTCTAAAAGACCAAAGTGTTCAAAATGCCAGAAATCAACCCAGAGAGAGGCCAGTGCACAACTGCCCTAGAATGGACGCTCAACGGCTCCTAGGACTATTGTGGGGGGAGGGGCCCAGGCTTTTACATGTGCAAAATTTTAGTGAAATTTTACTGACTGTGAGGGAGAAAAAGTTTGCCTGTGTGTACATGCCAGAACCTGCATATCACTGTGTCCATGTGAATTTAAAGAAACAAGTTAATAACTTTGGGAGATGGAGAACACAAAGAAGAAAGAAAAGAAGGACTGGTTGCACCCCCAACCCCCCAAAAGAATTCTTTTAAACAGCTAATCCCAGGTTGAAGTGCGATATCTTGAATAAATTATTACCAAGCTATGACAACAATTAAAACACACACACATGCAAAGCAATTATATGAATGTCATGCAGAGCGGCTTTATGCTGGGAGTATCCATTGGTTCTCACTCATTTCAGCAACTTTCAGCAAGTTTGGAGAATGTGTTTTTGAAACCTTTCTGGGCCAGAACGGGGCAAAGATTGTTACGACTAATCCAACAGAGAATGATTTTCATCCAGACTCTGGAGAGGACCAAAGTGAGTTGCTCTTAAACAAAATGGCAATTCGCAAAAGGCCAGAACAGAAAGATGAACATGGGTTTCCAGTAGAGGATGAGAGCTCGGGGCACACGGAGCATGTGGCCTCACACCCTCGGCCAGATTCTCCTCCGGTCTGGCTGGCAGAGGAGATGGAGGACCTGGCCTGGGGAGAGAGGGCGGCAAGACAGGGAAGGAGCGAAGACACAACAGATACAACCCAACGGGTGCGTGTGTGGCTGTGTGTGTGTGTGTGAGCATTTACACCACAAAAGGACCTGTGTGGGGGAGCACAGGGCGGGGACGGACAGCCAGTCAAGACTGGGCAATGCCACAGTCTGGAAAGGACATGAGAGGGGACAGAAGTGTGGCTCCTGGGATGCATATTTGGAGAGAGACAGAGGTGCATGTGAAGTGGGGGATCTCATTAAAGTCTGGGGTCCAGGACAGCTGTGGATGTTCGTGTCAGACTTGCTGGTTCAAATCAGTTCAATATTTGTTTTAAAATTTGTTAATAGTTTTAAAATTTTTTACTCCCACAAAAAAAAAATAAAGTCATCATTTGTTCCTTTGATTCACTGAACTTTTTTTTCTTTGGGATGGATGTGAGTACACCTGGCCATGTTCAGGGTTTACCCTGGCTCTGGGCTCAGGGTACCACATGGGGTGCCAGGGATTGAACCCAGCTCAGCTGTGTACAAGACAAGATAGTACCAGTTCTACGACTTCCACGGCCCCTGAAGGAGTGACTTTCCATGGATGGCTGCATAAACATTCCTGGGACATAGGGGGGCAAGGGGAACAGAGGTGATGAGGCAGCAGAGGGAAACGGACAAGTGGTTAACTGGGCCATTTATTTTTTAAAATTTATTTATGTATTTATTTTAACCGGGGGTCACGCCCAGCGATGCACAGGGGTTACTCCTGGCTCTGCACTCAGGAATTACTCCTGGTGTTGCTCAGGTGACCATATGGGATGTTGGGAATCGAACCCGGGTCGGCCACGTGCAAAGCAAACGCCCTACCCCGCTGTGCTACCGCTCCAGCACTAAGTTGCATGCCAAGACGAGTGTCTTTAAAAACCAAACCAAAATGAAACAAAAAACTGCTTCGCCTTCTGATGGACGGTTGCCTCCTCAAGCCAGGGCACCAGTCATGATTCTGGGGGGATGTGCGCTGTGGGGAGCGCAGGGGAGGATGGGACTCTGGTGTCTGTGTGCCCCCAACTTGGGAGCTGTCTCCTGCAAATAGCACCAGGGATGAACCGACCATTTGGGACCAGCTCTGGGGGGCTGGGAGGATGAGCAGATGGAAGGAGCTGAGACGGGCGGCAACCATGGACGTGCAACAGACCCCGACAACCGTCACTCAAGAGTACAGAGGAGGGGGTCTCCCCGCAACCAGAACTCACAGTGGGGTGGGGTGGCGGGTGCGCTGTGTCACAGTAATTACAGCACAGTAGAATTCATGGGAAAAGCATTTCCCTTCCTTGTGTCCTCCATCTTCAGCAGCCTGGCAGTGGGCTGGCCTTGGGGATGCTCCTGGCTCCTTGCTGGGGGCTGGGTGGAGGGAGGGAACTCTGCCTCCTGCAAAGCCTGTGCTCCCTGCGGCCCCAGACTTCAGAGCAAAGCTCAGATATGCTTAGGCCCATCTGCCTCTTTCTTTTCTTTTGTTTTGGGGCCACACCTGGTGATGTGAGGGGCTTACTCCTGGCGTTGTGCTCAAGGATCACTCCTGGCGAGGGGAGGATCCACCTGGATGCCGGGGATCAGGGATGGACCCTGGGTTGGCCTCCAACAAGGCAAGTTCCCTGCCTGCTGTTCTATCCTGCAGCTCCCCTATTTGTCCTTTTCATTCTGACTTTCGTTTGCATTTCTGCAGCAAGTTCAAATTCTGGGCTTCTCTGCTCCACCTCAGTTCAAGATGTTTTCCATCCTGTGGAACTATGTCTTTTTCTCCTGGTACTCTGGTTGAAGTTTTTGTTCTCCTGAGTCGTAACAGTAAATGCAGAAAACGAATCTGTAACAAGATAGTTCTTTTTGTTTGGTGGCACATTTGGCGGTGTTCGGGGCTTACTCCTGGCTCTGTGCTCAGAGAGCGCTCCTGGCGGTGCTCGGGAGACCATACGGAGTGCGGGAATCACACCTGAGTCAGACAAAAAGCAAGGCAAGAGCCTTCCCGCTGTGATATCACTCCAGCCCCATAGAGTGATGAAAGTGAAAAACAACAACAACAACAATGTTTTCACATGCAAGGGAATATGTAGTTTTTAATTAAAATAACACTAGCACGTTACTCATTTTTTTATTTTATTTTATTTTGGCTTTTTGGGTCACACCCGGCGAAGCTCAGGGGTTACGCCTGGCTCTGCACTCAGGAACTACTCCTGCTGGTGCATGGGGGACCATATGGGATGCTGGGGATTGAATGTGCAAACGCCCTAGCCGTTGTACGTTGTACTATCATTCCAGCCCCTAGCATGTCATTAAAAAAAAAAGAAAGAAAAATTTGTGACAGAAAAGTGGTTATTTTCTTCCCCTTCCAGATCTGGTCACTGCAGAATTTTTGGTCGTCGCTTTTTTGGTTGGTCGTACGGTCTTCTTACTGAAGTAATAAGACTGCAGATTCTACTGCTGCCACTGGGTTCAAAAGTCTGTATTGCTAAATAATGTTTGACTTACGAATTTTTTTTGCTTCTGTTTATGGGTCCTACCTAGTTGTGCTCAGGGCTTACTCCTGCCAGTGCTTAGGGACCACATGGGACGCCGGGGATTGAGCCCAGGTCAGCCTCAGGCAAGGCTGGGCCCTCCCCGCAGTGCCATGGGTTCTGCCCCACGTTTAGACTTTTATTCCCGTCTTAGGCATCCGTTGTGCTGACTCTCCTTTCCTCTGCTCTTCCAGTACAATTGTCCAAAGGCTTTGCTTGGCAGTGTTTTAGCGCAGGGGCTGTTTCAAGAGCAGATGAATTTGTAGATTGCAATGCCAGACATCAAACCACGTGGGGCGGTGGGCGGGGTTATCGGTACTCCCACCCCCACGGTCCATGTTCCCTGACCCCAAGGTGCCGGGAACAAACTCAGGAATGTCTCGCACTTCCCCCATTGCTGCAAACAGAGGCTCTTTTCCAATAAATTAAGCCCATTTGTGTCAAACTCTTGTCCTGGGGCCCCACGGCAAAGCCAATGGGGTGAAGGGGTGAAGGTTGTTTCTGCAGCTCAGGGTCTTGGGGAGGGGGAGGGGCACTTTAAAGAGGAGTGAATCTGAGGGTTAGTTTGTTCTTTTTCTTGAGGGCCACTCCAGGTGATGCACCAGGCTTCCTCCTCCTGGCTCTGCACTCAGGGGTCACTCGCCGTGATGCTTGGGGGACCATGTGGGGTGGCAAGGATGGAACCCGGGTTGGCCGCATGCATGGCACACACTTTCCCCTGTACTGTACTATCGCTCCAGCCCCAAATTTGAGTATTTCTTAACTTAAAAAGAAGAAGGGAGACGGTAGCCCTGGCCTCCTAGCTTTGCGGCCTAGGTAAAACAATCCTTAAGCAACCGAGTAGATTTCTCTGCAAGGACAGCGCAGCCAGCGTTACCATGGAAATAGGCAGCCCAGCCAGCAGAAACCGATGCGGTCACATGCCTGATGGCATCCATCATATCAGCAGGCGGGGTTGGGCCGCTGCGTCCCACACGGCCCACAGCGTGACGCCTTTTTAAGCGAGTGACACCCTTCACTCGTGCACCCCGCCTGGAGAGCATTCCTACTGCTCGAGAGGGGCCGGGGCGGGGGCTGGCGCTGGGCCTGTCTGGGTCTGTGGAGCTCAGGAACGCTCCATGCTGAAAATGGGGATATTCTGCACCCCAGGAGAATTTTTTTTCTTTCGGCAAAAATAAACTGTCCTATTTGCCACTGTCTGTCCACTGGCCAGACTGCACCTGACTCAGGTGAAACGCCTGAAGGAAAGGCTGTCAGCTCACTCCCCAGCAGGTGGGTGCCAGGGTGGAGTCGGGAAAAGTACCTCCAGGAGCCTGGGCCAGAGCACAGCGGGGAGGGTGTTGGCCTTGCACACAGCAGACCTGGGTTCCATCCCCGGCACCAGAGAGGACCCCCCCTCAACCCCACCAGGAGTGAAACCTGAGCGCAGAGCCAGGAGTAAGCCCTGAGCACAGCCAAGTGTAGCCCCCCCCCCAAAAAAAAAGTAAAATAAAACAATGATTTAAAAGAGAGACCCTGCAAGGCCAATGCACGCAGATCCAATGTGAACAGTGTAAATAAATTCAATCAGCCTCCCATTATTGGTTATTTCAAAATACACATCCCAAACTATTGGGGGTGGGAGTGGCATACACACAGCTGTGCTAGGGGTCAGGCCCAGGGTGGCCGCACGCAAGGCAAGTGCCTTACTCACTGTAGTGTGTCTTGGCCCCACTCCTCCCAAACTACTGTTCTTACAAGGATGTTACAAATACTTCATATGAGGGTTGCATTTCTGGTTTATGCCATAAAAGGTTGCGGTGACGGTGAGACTGTCTGTGTTGGCTGAACCCCATGCGAGCTGTCACGCTGACTGTGTGCCGATCCAGTCACCGAGGGCTGGATCCATCTGTCATGCCTGAACACAACTATTTTTAACCTGCAGAGTCTAATGGGTGGTGGCGTTCGTTCGGCCCCTTTCAGTTCTCTTGATTTGTTAATTCCCATCCCCCATACTTTGCACACTAGGGTGACCCCATGAAGATTTAGGGGGTCAAATCCACATCAAAATGCTCTCAATGATTAAATGAGGCATGTTTCAGAGCTATTTATTTAGTGATGGGGGGGAGGTATTTCAGGCCTGAGCTAATTAGTCATTTAGGAGCTGGGAGATTTAATTTTAATTATGGATGAAAAATCTCCCTCCCTCCCTTTCTCTCTCCCTATCTCCATCTCCTGACAAATGGGCAGCTTTCACTTAGCAAATGGTCACCAGCAAACCTGGTTGCAGGCGGTGCCTGCTTTGGGGAGACTGCTCAGTCTCCCGTGGGAGCCACACAGTGACTCCCGATCCACTTGCAGTTCCAGAAGGATCTTTGGGTCCCCAAGGCCACCAGTCATCCCCTCAGCCACATTCGTGTCTCTACTTCGCACGGAGCTCTGCTCCTGAACGCCCACGGGGAAGGCTGCCAGCGCCCCCACAGGTGTGGGGGGATGGGAACTGTCCATTCCACTTTACGAACCTCCCATATATATTTTTAAAAAGCAGCATTGGAGCTGGAGTGGCAGTAGGGCAGGCAGGGTGCTTGCCTTGCAGGCTGCAAACGCGCGTTGGACCCCTGGCACCCCATATGGTCCCCGAGCCGGCCAGGAATGGTCCCTGAGCACTACTGGGTGTGTCCCCCCCCCAAAAAAACAAAAAAAACGCAGCAATTGCTTTCACTTTTGCTGCCTAAAATAAAGTGTTTTTTTCTCTTTTTTGGGTCACACCCAGCGATGCTCAGGGGTTACTCCTGGCTCTGCAATCAGGAATCCATCCTGGGGGTGCTCGGGGGACCACATGGGATGCCAGGGATTGAACCTGGGTCAGCCACTTGCAAGGCAAACGCCCTACCGGCTGGACTATGGCTCCGGTCCACACTGAAGTGATTTAATTAAGCAATTTCTCTCATAGGACATAAACTTACATTTCTTTCTTGAATTCTTCCATCTCTTGATTCTCTACAGTCAGACGCTCTTTCGATTTCTTCAGCTCTTCCACATTCTTCAAGTTGTTTTCTTTAAGGGATCCGACTTCGAGACCAAGAGAAAAGAAACCTGGTCAAATGCTTCTGTTTTCCAGTGGCATGGATGGGGACACAAATCAGACGTGAAGACGCAAGTTTGAATAGCAAAGGGCCGGAGACACGCGGCTCAGGGGCGTCCTGCAGCGCACCCGTGCAGGAAGCCCCGTCTGTAGGAAGCAGACCCTGAGCACTGTTGGTGGTGGCTTAAAAGACCGAAAAAGAACGGACACTAGAGGCTCCTGACAGAGACAAAGAGGACTCGGAATGAAGAATGCCCCTCCCAAGCCCTGAGTGTAATCGCTGAGTGACTAAGGATATGGTTTTTCTTTCTTTTCTTTTAGGGTCACACCCAGCAATGCACAGGGATTCCTTCTAGCTCTGCACTCAAGGAATTACACCTGGCAGTGCTCAGGGGATCATATGGGATGCCGGGGATTGAACCTGGGTCTGCCGTGTGTGAGTCAAACGCCCTCCCTGCTGTGCTATCGCTCTGGCCCAGGATATGGTTTCTCTCAAGGCTGAGGCCAGGCCTACACAGCCCTGGTCACCACCATCAACAACCTCACTCTGCAACTTCGCATTGGTGTTCCTGGCGTCCTCCAGGGAGGCCAGGGTCTCTGTCTTCTCTTGGGTCATTTGCTCCATGAGCTGCCTGGCATCTTCCGCTGTCTGCACAGCCTGGAGGGAGAAACCTCGTTGAGCCACGCTGGGGGAGCCAGGGAGGGGTTGGCCTCAGTGGCAGAGCACAGCACGAAACGCCACACAAACCTGCCACAGTGGTTCCGGGCCCCACTGGGCGCCGCTCACCCCGTGGGGAGTCGCTGGGCGAGCCTGAGATCGGTCCACAAGCTGAAAAGACCCACTACTGCTGGGCGGGAGGACCCCAGAGCCCAGACCATGGCTTGTTGAGGAAGAAGGAAGTAAGCAAGGGAGGAGGAAGGCTAAGGATAGGAAGGAGGGAGGGTGGAAACAGGGAAGAAAGGGAAAGGGAGGCGAGGGAGGGAAGAAAATGTTATCTTTTTTTTTTTTTGGCCCGCTCGAGCTAATCGATGAACAACGGGAGGACAGTGACAATGACAGTGACCCTATGGGATCCTGGAGATTGAACTCACGTAGGCCGTGTGCAAGGCAAATGCCCTTCCCACTGTACTATCACTCTGGCCCCCAAGATTTACTTTCTTGTAGTTTCTTGTCTGTGACTTTAAAAGTCTGAGGTGTTTCAATATGAAATTTAAATTGAAGAACCTCTAATCCACTAGACAGCAGTCACCAGAACTTGACGTTTGTTACATCTTGATGCGAACAAGTGGGTCATCTATCCCCTGCTGTGTCCTAGGAATTGATTCCGTTTGTTTCTGGAATGCCAGCTAAGGAGTCCTGAGTCCTGAGAGGAACTCCCGGGGGTCTCTGGGTCCTTCTGTTATGTCTGTCAGTCCTGTCTACAAATCCCACAGCCCTTCCAACTTGGCCAACAGAGAACTTTCTCCAAGCCGGGGGGGGGGGGGGGTCTGGGAGGGCGCTTCCCTGTCACCACAATCCTATAGGAGGAAAAGGGCATTTCTCAGGGCTCCTTGGTGAGAAATGCAGCTCGCTTGGCTTGGCCCAGAACTCACTCTCTTGTCCTTCCCCAGGGTCAGGGCTACTGATGTGGGCAAGTAGACAGGGAAAGGCCCTTTGCAATGAAACACAGTTTCATGGAAGAAGAATTCTAGGAAGGATCCACCTGTGGATACAGAAAGCAAAGGCCTGATAAGACCATCCACAGACCCTCAGGACATGGGCCTCCCCATGAAATTCCTCTTTTTGGACCTCCCTGGTAATCTCCTTAGCAACAGACTTTTACCCGGGAAGAAGCTCCACGTGGTGACAGGCTGGAGAACCCTATAAAGGCCACCTGGAAGAAAGGCAGGGTGCGCACATGCTGCCTGAGCCCATGTGCGGTACGTCCACGTGGCTGAGCACATGTGGTGCCTGAGCACATGTGTCGCCCGCATCTCCCCTCTTGAGATGTGTACTTTCATGCTTTCGTGTCGAATGCTGGGATGTGTGGAGGGGCTCTCTCCACCCTCGGAGAAGCCCGCGTTCTCTCTGGACGCGTTACTCTCTCTCTTACTCTCATTCCCCCGCTTATCTGCTTATCCCTTTCTCTCCCTCTCCAAAAATCCTCCAAATAAAATCTATTTGTTTCACTGCTTGTCTACTCCTGAAATTCCTTTCTGTGAGGCGAGACAAGTACCCAGTAACCCTGGGTCCCGGGTGGCACAGGCGGGTGGGGAGAAAGTGACCGTCTTTCTCCTCCCCGCTTCACTAAGTCACCCTTGGGGCCCACCGATATCACTACCATGAGAGTCCATGCCCGTGGCCAGCAGGAGGCCATGCTGGAAGGCGGACTTGGCCCAAGCACCCCTTAGAGGCTGAAAGGGCTGAAATCTCTGCAGGGCTGGGTAGGGGCTTGTGCTGCAGGCAGGGAGGGGCCGGCAATGAGAAATACCAAGATGGGCCACGTCACCAGCCCTGAGGGAGCTCAGAGGTTCAGAGGCATTGAGCACCAGCTGGAAACTGAGGCACCTCGGGGAGAGGACGGCAAAGCCAGTCACATGAGCAGGTGGTCAGCAAGGTCAGGGAAAGACCCCTGCGGCCAGCCTCGAGCCCAAGGGTCTGGGCGGAGTCGGCGAGTATGCAGGGGGCCCAAGAGGGGGGGGCAGAGGTTTGCTTTGAGGGCTCCTATCTTGTTTTCTCACTGGCCTTGTGAAGAGTTCTCTGTTTCAGAAAGACCCCAGACGGGCCCGATTAGCTGAGGCCAAGGCTAGCACGGCATCCGGGTGCTGGGGACCAATGACAGCCCCAGAATCATGCCGACACGTTCTCAGTCCCATCAGAGGGAACCGCACGGGACGTGACCGGGAGACCTGTCAGCACCAAGCCGGAACACGGCGGCGAGCACACTGACACACAGCATGCAGGGACCGAGCGTGGAAGTGGGCGAGGGCGCCCGGGTACCAACCTGCCGCTCTCGGCCCGCTCTGCATTCTCTAACTCCTGAATCTGCCGCTCAGCCACCTGGAGCTGCCGCCTGAGCTTCTCCATTCCCAATTTACCTCGGAACTGGCCTTCCGGAGCCCATCGAGCTGCAAGAGCTTCTGCTGGGTGGCCTCCAGCTGCGCCGTGGCGTCGGCCAGGGCCTGGGCTTGCTGACTACACATGGCCCGCAACCCCTCCAGGTGCTTTACCTTCGTCTCCGCCTCCTGCAGCTTGTTCAGGGCGTCCTCCATCTCCACCAGGTGCTGGTCCTGGGTCTGGTCGAGCTTGGCCCACGCGGCCTCCAGGCTGTTCTTCTGCTCCTGGGCCGTCCTGACCAGCTGCGACCTGAGCGTCTGCAGCTCAGAGGCGTGCGCTGCACGCTCAGCCGCCAGCTGGGCCTTCAGGTTCTCCACCTCCTGCTGGGACTCGAACTGCAGCCTCTCCATCTGCATCTTGAGCTCGGCCAGCTCGGCCGCCTCGGCGCCCATGCCCCGGCTCACGGACGCCTTCGGCTCGCCCATGGCCTGTTGGTGCGGGGCGATGGCCGTCTCCAGCTTGGACTTCCACAGGGCGATCACGTCCGCGTTCTCCTTGTTGGCATGGTCCAGCTTGGTCCTCAGTCACTCGCTCTCTTTGGCGAGCTTCTCGGAGGCCGACTGCAGGGCCTTTGCCTACTTCTGGTGGGAAAACAAAATTTCCATGAACTTAAAACAGGAAGGAAAAGAAGCAGACATAGAAATTTTTCTTTTGCAAACTGACTGCTTTGTTAGGGTCGGAGCTCAGGACAGCCTCACCTGTCAAGGAAAACTCTGAGAGACCAAGTCCACGCAAAAGCAAGAGGTTTATTCGAGCATGCTCGGGCTCACAGCATGAACGCAAACCGTCAGTGGCTGAGAGCCCCAAGCCTCTTCAGAGGGAACTTTTTATAGAGCAACTTCCCGCCGTCTCAGAAAAGCCAGCGCACAAATCACCCAATACCTTCGAATGATCACATTAGATGCTGCACGCAGGCAGCCAATCAGGCCTTCTCTGGCCCCATGACCTTATTTGATGAATTCCAGGGGCAACAAGAAGATGGGGGTCCTTGGTGCTATCAACAGGACGCAGCTGCAGGGCAGGATATGGGCTGGGACTTGCTTTTCTAGGGCCCAATTGTCATGGAGCTATCTTTCAGGTATTCAATTATGTAGGCTAAAAGTAACGTTCTTGCTCAAGTTCTTTTTCCAGAAAAATCAACCTGAGGACATATGTGCTTCAAACGTAAAGGAGTTGGTGCTTATAAGCATCTTTGGTTCTGTTAATTTTGGGTTAATAATATAGCAACTTCCAGTTTCTTTCCCAGACTTTATGGATTGATGGTGTCTGTACTGCATGGTGTCCCTTTATTTTCGTCTTGTCAAATAGCTATGGAGAATCACTGAAGGTATTCATTTTAGGCTACATTGGTCATGAATCTTTGCAATAATGCAATAGAGGTTTTATTTGTTTTGGGTTTTTTGCCTTTAAACCTCACCCAGTGGTTCTATTTTTTTTTTCATCTTTTATAATGTTATTTATTGAATCACCATGAGAGCAGTTACAAAGCTTTCGGGTTTAAATCTTGGTTATAAAATGAAAGACCCGTACCTTCACCAGTGCCATTCTCCACCACCAAAACCCCCAGTATACCCCCATCCCACACCCTCCCCCTACCTGTGGAGAGATGATTTTCACATTACGCTCTCTCTACTTTGATTACATTCAATATTTTGACACTGGACACACCACTATTATTTGGGATTTTACCCCAACACTCAGAGCTGCTGAAAAGGCAACAGTAGACAATTTGTTTTCTATTCCTGGTTGTAAATAACATATGATGTCGCGTGGTTGTAGTAGTGGCTGCGCGATTTTGAAATTCCACAATTTTAACAATTAAATCTGGAGGGATTTCTTGCCAAAACCTGCTCGGTTCCAAGATTTGTTCCTGAGTCTGTGGGATCATGGCCGGTAAGCAGATTGATCGGGAGCCAGAAAGGCCATTAGTGGGCGGTGACTAGGGGTCTTGCTGGGATGGGGAGGGAAGGGCTGGTCCCACCCCCATCCCGTGAGGCCCCACATGTCTCATCACTGTGGGCCCAAACCTTACTGTCCAATGGCTTCTGGAGGATGGCGGCCACCGAGCCACCAAGGGGGAGCAGGTGGAGGGACAGCACCCTTTCCTCCCTGGAATGGCCCAGCGACAGTAACCTACTGCAGGGTTCAGATGCATTTCTGCCAAAAGCCACTGGATTCCGAGATTTGTGTCTGAGTCTCTGGGATCATAGTCATTAAGCACCTTAATCAGGAGCCAGAGAGGCCGTTCATGGGCGGCGACTTGGGGTCACATTGAGACGGGGAGGAAAAGGCTGGCTCCACCCCCATCCCATGAGGCCCCACATGTCTCATCACTGTGGGCCCAAACCTGACTGTCCAATGACCTCTGGCGGATGGTGGCCACTGAGCCCCCAAGGGGGAGCAGGCGGAGGGACAGCACCCTTTCCCCCCTGGGGTGGCCCGGCAACAGTAACCTATTGTGCGAGCTGGATGCATTTCTGCCAAAAGTTGCTGAGTTTCGAGATTTGTTTCTGAGTCTCTGAGATCATGGCCGTTAAACAGCTCGATCAGGGACCAGAGAGGCCATGCCTCTAATTATATAGCTGAACTGGAGGTGGTGTGGGTGTATCTCCCACATACCTAACTTTTTCCTGTTTACTTTCTTGGTCAACTCTGCCCCAACCTTTTGGGGTCTGGCCAAACGCATGGCAGCAATTTGGGGGTACCTGGACGTCTGAAGGCGCCATCAGGCTGCTGATGCACTCGACTCACAGGTACAGACTGACCTGCTGGTGGCACCATACTCCCAACCCAGTGCTTCTTAGGGTTTACTCCTGCCTCTGCACTTAGAGATTGCTCCTGCCAGGGCACAGATGACTGGATGGGATTGCTGCGATTAAACCCAGATCGGCCACATGCAAGTACCCTACTCACTGCACTATCTCTTTAGCCCAAGATAAACACTTTTAAGAAAATGGTTTACAGGCCCAGAGCAATAGTGCAGCTGGTAGGGCATTTGCTTTGGCCAATCTGGCTTCAATCCCTGACATTCCATATAGTCTGCCCAAGCACTGTCAGGAGTGATTCCTGAGTGCAGAGCCATGAATAAGCCCTAAGACATCACCAGGGGTGGCACAAACATAAAAAAACAAAAAGAAATTGGTGTATCAGAATTCCATTGTAGAAACTGTTTGACTCATTTGACTCTATAGTTCTTCATTGCTAGCCAAAAATCTTTTCTAAATAAACCTGAGAATAATCAGTTATCACTGGCAAAAAAGAAATAATTTTATTAAAGTAGATATAGGACACTTGTTCGCTCAAGTTTTAATACTGCTTTACATAGTTTGTGAAACAAATTCAATAATGGTTATTACTAAAAATTTCAATTGATACAGATCTTTCACTTGTCAGACAGTTGATATTCTCCAGAGGAAAATACATCAAAATCATACATATAATTATAGAAGTTCTTATTATACATGTAGCCTGGATGGTACATTATTTATCACTTTTGACAGAACTAGAAAACATTCAAGTGAACAAAAATGATTCAAACTGGATGATAAACTTCTGATGGTTGAGGTCCTTCATTTAATTTTTTTGTGATAAGAAAATCCAAAAGTATTAATGTTGAATTTCTCCAGAACCAGCTTCTTGACATGCTCCTCCAGCTGGCCCCTCTCCTCCAGGCCCTTCTTACACTCGGCCACCAGGCCGCTCTTGCTCATCTGCAGCTCCTCCACCAGGGCCTGCAGCCCCACCTTGGCGACCTGCAGTGACCTGCAGTGCTTCGTTCTCTGTGCGCACCCTCTGGAGCTCCTCCTGCACCGCCCTGCCCAATTCCAGCACTTTCTCTTTCTCCGCCTCGAGGGCTTCTTGGCGGAGCCGCTCCTCCTGCCAGAGCTTCTCTGCGGCCCGCCTGGCCTCGATGACCTTCTCTTTTTCTAATTGAATCGCTTGGCTCAACAGCCAGAGCTTCCCCTGCTCTTCCCGCAGCGAAGAGTTTTTGGCCTCGGCTTCTGTTTGCTTCAGTAGCAGTGACCCTCTCTCTGACTTCAGAGAGAGCTTCTCCTTCGCCAGCAATTGATTCTCTGACCTCAGGGCCCTGCGATCCTTCGACATCAGCTCAATTTCCTCTGATGTTATTGGGTAAGTTAATGACTACAGAAACAAAAGCGGGGAAGAATGGAAACAAGAATGAGATCAAGCAGGCACAAGCAAGCCAAGCACTTAATGTGGCCTAAACACCAGAAATGAAAATGGCAGAGTAGTCTTACCTGCACACGCGTGTATACGCGCGCGCACGCACTCACACACACACGCACACACACATGCAGGATGGAGAGGCTCTGACACAGTTAGCTTCTTAGGGTCAACATAACTACCTGCCTATTTTGTGGATGGGGGCCCCACACCTGGTGATGTTCGGGTCTCGCTCAGTGTTCTGTGCTCAGGGATCACTGCTGGCAGGGCCGGAGGACCATACGGGATGCTGGGGATCAACCCTGGGTTGGCCGAGTACAAGGCTGCACCCTACCCATTCTACTATCAGCCAATTTTATTTTTGAAATGCCATCTGAAATTATTCCTGACAGCTCCCCGGAAGTTTGGACAGTTGGATCTTGACATTGGGGCATAAGATTTTTTCCCCCCACTTCAATTCTTCTATTATAAAATCCATCACTCTGTCATAGAAGGGATGCATTCAAAAACTAGTTTTCAGTACAATTCAAAGAACTACAAAAAGTATTTTGTTTTTGAACTTTGTGCAGGAGGGGAAGGGAAAAGCAACCACTACTTGCCAAACGATTTTCACAGGGACAAACAGAGGCAGGAAATGGACTTAGTCCCAAAAGTTATACACTTTATAGAAAATCCAGACTAATCCACCAAGCTTTGGAGACTGAAGCCAACAGGTTATGCTTGCCAAACACAGTAACAACAAGTCTCAAAATGGAGACATTAGTGGGCCCGCTCGAGCAAATCGATGAGCAATGGGAGGCAGTGTTTGCAGTAATTTGGGAGGGGCCCAGGGGCTCCAGGAGGAGTGGCCGCACACGGGCCAGGGTCTCCCTCACCTGCTCTCCCTGCCCGTCAGCAACGGGTTGTGCGTCTTCGTTTCTGAGTCTCAATGCACACCATAGTTTAACCGCCATGTACTTTCCAGAACTTTCTGCAGCAAGGGCTATCTTCTCTGTCCAGCTCCACAGCCATGAGCCGCAGCAGGCTACTGGCGTGCGCTGGGCAGCTGACCGCTGACGGTCAGGTTACCGGAATGGGACTGACCTGAGCATGCACACGAGGCTGCTGGCCACAGAACTGGGCCGTGCAGGTGGTCCAGAGAGGAGACGTAGCCCTGGCTCTGGTGCGTGGTGGAAAGAGGCCGGGCACCAACACACACGCGGGCCATGGCCGCCACTCAGCAGCCCTGGTTTCTTCTGATGTAAGCTCGCTTCCGTTTTCTTTCCATTGGCTTATAGATATGTATACACACACATATACATACAAGCACATATATGTATAAACTATACATGGGACCAAGCGTGGAAAACTAAAAATGTATCAAAATATGTACATATGAATTAAAATACACTTATTATATGGATATAAAGATGTACACATATGTACATGTTATGTATGTACACACATATATGTGTGTATACATTATTTTCCTTCTTGTTTTGGGGTTCACACCCGGCAGAGGTCACGGCTTCCTCCTGGGTGCTTGGGGGACCCTGGGGGATGCTGGGGATCCCCCGGTGGGTCACGTGCACAGCAAGTGCCCTCTCACTGCACTAGTTCTAGCCGCTCTATTTCTCCCCACTGAGCTTCGAACCTTAACATTTCTCTGATACACTAAAAAATGCCTTTGAGCAATCAAGTGAAAACACGAAGGCCTGAACTTACTGAGCAAGCTAAAAACAAAACGGACAACCCAAGCTGGGGTCCCTGGGCTTCTATGTGCTCTGCCGGGCGCCCCGGGAGCAACCCCCTTCCGGCTCTCACAGGCGCCAACGGGTGGAGGAAGTGTCTGAGGCTGCAGGCCGAGGCCCCCAACAGAGCCCGACCCCGAGACGGCCGCCCTGCGCCCACACACCTTGGCCTCGTCGGCTTGCGTCTTCAGCTCGGCCACCTCCCGCAGCAGGCTCCCGTTCTCCGCCTGCACCGCCTGCAGCTTCTCCGCCTGCAGCAGCAGCTTCTGCAGGGCCTGCAGCGCCTCCTCGTGCTGCGCCTGGCTCTCCGTGGTGGACTTGGCGTGCTCGGCCTGCAGAGCCTGGGGCTGGCTGCGGCTCACGTCCACCTTCTCCCCCTGCGGGGATCCGGGGGCCATCATCAGCCACAGGCCCCCTGCCTGCCCCCAGCACACACGCGCACACATGCGCGCACACACACACACACACACACAACGCACACAAACAAACATACCCGCACACACATGGCGACTCTGCTCTGCTCACCAGCACACACACACAATGTTCATGAAAATGAACTTGCACTTAGAACATAGATATTGGGGCTGAAGGGCTGGCACAGGGTCCAGGTGCCCGAGAACAGCCAGACGGTTAGACCCTGAGCCAGGAGTACCACCGAGTTTGGGGGGAGCCCCAATAAACATGGTGATCATCTGGGGGCTGGGAGAGAGAAAGCACTGAGTAACGCCACTTGGCCCCGGTCTGAATCCCGGCACTAACAGGAATATCCTGAGCACAAAGCCAGGAGTCGCCTCCAAGGACTGACAGGCATGGCACTAGTCCCCCACCACCACCACCAAAAAATATATATATATATATACACACACACACACACACACCCCAGGGCCAGAGCAATAGCCCAGCGGGGAGGGTGTTTGTCTTGCACAAGGCTGACCCGCCTTTGATCCCCAGCATCCCATAGGGGATGCACCATCAGTAGCAATTCCTGAGTGCAGAGCCAGGAGTGACCCCTGAATGTCCCCAGCTGTGACCCAAAAAGACAAAAAACAACAAGAACTACAACAAGAACAAAAAAACCCAGAAAACAAAAATAATCCACCCCAAACTCAGCTATCAATGCCCAGTGTGTATCTGCCTGGCAAACACGAGTGAGTTGTGCAAGTATGTATGTATTTGCTTGCATGTCCAAGGACACGTATGAGTCTGCACATGACAGAAGCCCATGTGTGTATACTGGGGTGTGTGCATGGCTGTGGACACACGTGTGTACACATGTTCTCGACCACACACAGATAGAATGTGATGCTGCGTGTGCTGGGCCCATGCTGCCCCGGCAAGGACGATTCCCTTGGAAACCTCCCGCAGGGTTCTGAATGGCTCCTTCAGGGCTCAGTTTCGGGTCCTGACGGGACCCCGTCAGTACTGTCTCAATGGAAAGGCCCAGTTCATCAAGGTCCAGCGCCGGAGTGATGGGACAGTGGGGAGGGCGTTTACCTTGCACGTGGCTGACCCAGGTTCAATCCCCGGAATCCCATGTAGTCCCCCAAGCTCCGCCAGGAGAAATTCCTGAGTGCAGAGCTAGGAGTAACCTCTGAGCATCACCAGGTGTGACCCAAAAAGCCAAAAAAGAAAACAAAAACAAAAACAACCAGATACTTTAGGTGTTTTGCTTTGTATGTGCCCAACCCAGGTTCAATACCCAGCATTCCACGTGGTCCCCTGAGGGCCACCAGGTGAAGGTCTCAGCACAGCTGAATACTAAAAAGCCCAAGACACAAACAAACAAACACACACACACACACACACACACACACACACACACACATCCTAAAAAGAAAACCAGAAAACACACTTTGATCCAGTGCAGGAAGGTGTCTGGAAGGTTCCAGAAAACCGGCCTTACCAGCACATGTCTCTCACCCCCTCCCCTTGCTGTGAGCCCCCAGTGCTCCCGGCTGGCAGGGGAGACAGAGCCGAGGGAGCAGGGGGCACGGGAGAGGAGCCTGAGGCGCTGCTGAGGGGAGGAAGGAGCCCGGCACTCCGGGAGCATCGCTGGCCACTCACTGATCAGGCAGAGGCGGAGGGCACAGAGGGGACAGAGCAGCGCACCTACCTTTGCTGCCCCAATGGGGGCTCACGCAGCCCCTGGGGCTTTCTAGCTGACACGCTCGTGAGCCTCAGAGGCGATAGGGCCGAGCTCGCCTGAGGAGGCTTCGCTTTTCCCTCAGCAAGGTGAAGATCAGCGTCCAACTCCCCTGGTACTCACCAAACTCCGAAGATCTTTCTCCAAAGCCTCCTTCACTCGGCCGGCTTCGTTCAAGTTCTCCTGAAGACTACGAAGCGCTAGCTCCTTCCCCTGCAGCTCCTTGGCCAGGCTATCGGCCTACCAGAGTCACAAGGATGGAGTGAATGGACCAAGGGGACGAACAGAAACAGGAAGGGGAAAACAAAACAGAAAACACGTATGAGAAGCCCATGACCCAACACAACCCCAAAGAACAGAGGCGTGAGGTGAGCGTGATTGCCTGAAGCTCTGAAAGCCAAGGCCTTGGCGCCATCAGTTCTGGTGATGACTGTCTAGTGGTTACTGAAAACGGCTCAAACAGAGGCGTTTTCTAGACCTAAATTTGGAGCGACCAGAAAATAAGAAAGCCTATGAGAAAGACTGACTTTCCAGGGGCGGGGAGACGGCACAAAGGGCTGGAGTACACACCAGGCCCGAGTTGGAACTGCAGCACCACTGGGCGAGCCTGAGATCGGTCCACAAGCTGAAAAGACCCACTACTGCTGGGCGGGAGGACCCCAGAGCCGAGAGCATGGCTTGGCGAGGAAGAAGGACGTAAGCAAGGGAGGAGGGAGGCTAAGGATACGAAGGAGGGAGGGAGGAAACAGGGAAGAAAGGGAAAGGGAGGGGAAGGAGGGAAGAACAGGTTATCTTTTTTTTTCTTTTTGGCCCGCTCAAGCTAATCGATGAACAACGGGAGGACAGTGACAATGACAGTGACCCTATGGGATCCTGGAGATGGAACTCACGTAGGTCGTGTGCAAGGCAAATGCCCTTCCCACTGTACTATCACTCTGGCCCCCAAGATTTACTTTCTTGTAGTTTCTTGTCTGTGACTTTAAAAGTCTGAGGTGTTTCAATATGAAATTTAAATTGAAGAACCTCTAATCCACTAGACAGCAGTCACCAGAACTTGACGTTTGTTACATCTTGATGCGAACAAGTGGGTCAACTATCCCCTGCTGTGTCCTAGGAATTGATTCCGTTTGTTTCTGGAATGCCAGCTAAGGAGTCCTGAGTCCTGAGAGGAACTCCCGGGGGTCTCTGGGTCCTTCTGTTATGTCTGTCAGTCCTGTCTACAAATCCCACAGCCCTTCCAACTTGGCCAACAGAGAAGTTTCTCCAACAACGCGCACAGCGCCAGGGGGGTGGGAGGGGGGCGGCTGGGAGGGCGCGTCTCTGCCACCACAATCCTATAGGAGGAAAAGGGCATTTCTCGGGGCCCCTTGGGGAGAACTGCAGCTTCCTCGGCTTGGCCCAGATCTCACTGTCTTGTCCTTCCCCAGGGTCAGGGCTACCATGAGAGTCCATGCCCGTGGCCAGCAGGAGGCCATGCTGGAAGGCGGACTTGGCCCAAGCACCCCTTAGAGGCTGAAAGGGATGAAATCTCTGCAGGGCTGGGCTGGGGCTTGTGCTGCAGGCAGGGAGGGGTCGGCAATGAGAAATACCAAGATGGGCCACGTCACCAGCCCTGAGGGAGCTCAGAGGTTCAGAGGCATTGAGCACCAGCTGGAAACTGAGGCACCTCGGGGAGAGGACAGCAAAGCAGTCACACGAGCAGGTGGTCAGCAAGGTCAGGGAAAGACCCCTGCGGCCAGCCTCGAGCCCAAGTGTCTGGGCGGACTCGGCGAGTACGCAGGGGGCCCAAGGTGGGGGGGCCGAGGTTTGCTTTGGGGGCTCCTATCTTGTTTTCTCACTGGCCTTGTGAAGAGTTCTCTGTTTCAGAAAGACCCCAGATGGGCCCGATTAGCCAGGGCCTAGGCTAGCATGGCATCCGGGTGCTGGGGACCAATGACCGCCCCAGAATCATGCCGACACGTTCTCAGTCCCATCAGAGGGAACCGCACGGGACGTGACTGGGAGACCTGTCAGCACCAAGCCGGAACACGGCGGCAAGTACACAGAGACACAGCATGCAGGGAGCGAGCGTGGAAGAGGGCGAGGGCGCCCGGGTACCAACCTGCCGCTCTCGGCCCGCTCTGCATTCTCTAACTCCTGAATCTGCCGCTCAGCCACCTGGAGCTGCCGCCTGAGCTTCTCCATTCCCAATTTACCTCGGAACTGGCCTTCCAGAGCCCATCGAGCTGCAAGAGCTTCTGCTGGTTGACCTCCAGCTGCGCCGTGGCGTTGGCCAGGGCCTGGGCTTGCTGACTACACATGGCCCGCAACCCCTCCAGGTGCTTTACCTTCGTCTCCGCCTCCTGCAGCTTGTTCAGGGCGTCCTCCATCTCCACTAGGTGCTGGTCCTTGCTCTGGTCGAGCTTGGCCCACGCGGCCTCCAGGCTGTTCTTCTGCTCCTGGGCCATCCTGACCAGCCGCGACCTGAGCGTCTGCAGCTCAGAGGCGTGCGCTGCACGCTCAGCCGCCAGCTGGGCCTTCAGGTTCTCCACCTCCTGCTGGTACTCGAACTGCAGCCTCTCCATCTGCATCTTGAGCTCGGCCAGCTCGGCCGCCTCGGCGCCCACGCCCCGGCTCACGGCCGCCTTCGGCTCGCCCATGGCCTGTTGGTGCGGGGCGATGGCCGTCTCCAGCTTGGACTTCCACAGGGCGATCACGTCCGCGTTCTCCTTGTTGGCATGGTCCAGCTTGGTTCTCAGCCCCTCGTTCTCCTTGGCGAGCTTCTCGGAGGCCGCCTGCAGGGCCTTCACCTCCTTCTGGTGGGAAAACAAAATTTCCATGAGCTTAAAACAGGAAGGAAAAGAAGCAGAAACAGAAATTATTCTTTTGCAAACTGTTTGCTTCTTCTTGTTTTAAGGAATACCTTCAAAAAACTGGGGTTCTAAAGGATTTGATTTGTGCTGCTCGACTGAAAATCAAAGCTGAGGCAAAGGCGTAGACCCAACTGTCAGAACGAGAGAAAAACGCTCATCAACAGCAGCCTCCAGCCCCAAGGAGCAGAGGTGCCTCAGCCGGGCCCTGCCAGGTGCATGACCCCTGGTATCCCTGTCTGATTCGGAGTCTCCAGCAGAAGTGGTCCCGGCGGGGTCGGCCAGGCCACCCCGCATCCTTGCCTGCACCCTGCAAGTCTCTGGGACCTGCCCGGGCTTTACCTCCAGGTCGCCTTTGGTGATGGACTCCTCTTCGACTCGGAACTGGAGGTCCTCCACTTTCCTGTGGGGGAGAGGGAGAGTTGTGAGGGGCGTCACTGCTGCCCCCCATGAGGGCCACCACCCTGTAGATGCGTGCCCGACCCAGCCCCCGGCTCCACACACAGGAGGGCTGAGAGAGTCAGCGAGGGCCAGAGAGAGAGTACAGCGGGCAGGGCGTTTGTCTTGCACGTGGCCGACCCGGGTTCAATTCCCAGCATCCCATTATGGTCCCTTGGGCAATGCCAGGAGTAATTCCTGATTGCCGAGGCAGGAATAACCCCAGAGCATCGCTGGGTTGACCCAAAAAGAAAAAAGAGAAAGTCAGCGAGTCCCCTCGGCTGCGAGCACTGGGTGGGACCCGCAGGCTACAGGAGGAAGCTCTTTCGAGCCAATGCCAGGCGCAGTGTCATATCAGCCTTTTCTGCCTCGCAGCTAACAGAGGTCATTAAAGACTGACCCGGGGCGCATACTAGTTCCTGTCAGCCAGCTCCTGTCCCCACATCGGGACAACAACGGAGCCCCTGGGGGAGAAGCAGCAAACGACTCGGGGCTGGGGGGGCAGGAGGGGCTCCCAGGGGACGTGGAGTGTTCGGCATGTGCAGCTGAGGAGCTGAGCCGGGTACTGGCAGTGCCCCTGGGCACCACACTGCCGGGAGCCCATCTGAGAAGACCGTCTTGGCCGGCACCCCGTGTCCGTCTGTCTGCAGCCTGGCCTGAGCCCTGCCTGTCTGCTGCCGTGCCCCATGGGTGCTGCGGGTTTCCTCCCGCCCAGGATTAACCCCAGGGACTCCCACAGGGCCCCACTGGGATACGACAGTTCCCAGCCACCCAGCACATGTCTCCGGAACACCAGGCCACGTGGACACAGCAGTGAGGGCCGGGGGTGCCTGGGCTCCAGTGAGCTCCCCCCATTCCTCCCCATGAGGCCACGCTCAGGACTGGGCACCCGGTGGTTTCTGGTTCTCACAGCCCCGGAAGGCCGGCGCGCCCCGCCCGAGGCAGTTCCCCAGCTTGGGGCACGGCCTCACCTCTTCTCCTCCTCCAGCTGGTTCAGCAGCTCCACCTTCTCCCGGTCGCTCGCTTCCAGCATGGCCCGCTGCTTGTCCATCTTGGCCCCTAGCTCCAGGACGTGCTGTGGAGGCAACTGTGCGTGAGTGTCCTCGCCCGCCCCCGACAGCCCTCTGTGGGCTGGCACCGCCACCTGCCACCGCGGCACACTGAACGCGTCTCCCACATAAGCTGCAGCGTTTCTGGAAGGCCGGAAGGGAACCACACCACGAAAGCACCAGCGGGGACAACTTGGCGCTCCCGGAACCCCCACGGGGTGAGGATAAGGGGCATGTGATCAAACCACGCGCTGGATGCCACCGCAACGACGGCAGACGGGGACCCATGGCCTCTCCCTGCACTGCCTGCACCAAGGTCGCGCCCAGCATTTGCCGCAAGCGTCTCTTGGCCCCGGCACTGTCGTCTGCACAGACGTCACCTGGTCGTGCCCGTCCCGGCCAGGGCCAGCTCCTGCTCTATCACCCCCACATGGCTCGTGGCCTTGGCCACCTCCACCCTCTCCAGGTCCCGCTGGGCCAGCAGCTGCTGAATGTGCTGCTGCTTCTCCTTCAGTGCCTCTTGGAGGGCAGTGGTGCTGGAGATCTTGCAGGCATAGCGAGAGGAGGTTTCTGGCAACTGCAAAGGAAAAAGAGACGTGAAGGGGGTGGGGGTGGCGGACGCGGGCATGCACACGGCTATCCTCAGCAAAGCAGATGGAGCAGCGCTGCATCCGTGCATATGGGCCAGCGACTCTTAGCAGAAGCATCTTGAAACCTTCCCGAAGATCCTTGGACAGGACCTGAGCTCCACTGACGGGCTTCGTGGGAATCCAGAGACTCTTCTGGAGAGCCGGAGGCAGCCCCCTCCACAGCCCACTCTGGCTTGAGCTTCCTTAAGGCTGAGCCCTTGGCATGAGCTTGAGGCCGCCTCCAGCATCTTCAGCCTTGCAGGTCCGTCTGGGTCTCCCAGGGCAGCCTGGCCCTTCTCTCTTCCTCTTCCTTCCAGCTCACCTCGCTCTCCCCAGCACCCGCCCCAGGCCTGAATAGCACTAACCAGAGACTCTTGTCTCTGGGAATGGCCTCGTGCCCCTGAGGGTCACTAGGTGTGACCCCATAAAAGACCCCTGTGCCATCTGCCTTTGAAAGTGGGGGATGAGAGGCTAGAATGGTAAAGTTGCGGGGAAGGCGCTGGCCTTGCACGCCGCTGCCCCAGCTGGATCCCAGGTACCCACCCCATAGGGTCCCGAGCCCACCAGGAGTGAGTCCTGAGTGCAGAGCCCGGAGGAAGTCCTGAGCATTGCTGGGGTGTGGCCCAAAATCCAGGAAAAAAAGGAACAAGTGGTGGGTGAGCATGTGTGAGGGCTCACGCCCAGCGAGCAGGACCGCAAGGGCAGCTCAGGGGAAGACCAAGCACAAAGGGAAGGAGAGAAGAGGCAAAGACAGCGAGGAGGGGAGGGGAGTGGGCTGGAGGGCCGGGGGGACCGGGGGTCCTGTCCGTTCTGTCCTGGGCTCGTGGTCGCTCATGGTCGCTCTGCAGACCCAGTTTCCTTGCGGCACAACGGCCCCTGCAGGCGGGGACACAGCGGGACCTGGTCTTCATTCTTCAGGCACACGGTGGCGGGGGCTGGGGCGGGGGTGGCCGAGGACGTCCGCTCCTTCTGCCCGGCCACGCCTGACCCATCGCCCTGCTCTTGCCGCTTCCCTGCGTCATCTGAGCTGCTGCCAATTGCCTGCTGACTGACGGGCCCAGCAGGGCCCAGGCCGTCCACTGCTGCTTTGCCTGCTGGGAGCTCTCGAGCTACCTGGTTCTGTCCGGGGAGCGGCTCATCCTTGCCTCTGCGTAAGGATCTGGCCGTGACTTCCCAATACACTTAAAGTATATTGGTCAGATTAAAAGCCCGGCAAGCTACCGAGAGTATTCGATATGCCAGACACAGTAACAATAAAGTTTCCAATGGAGACGTTACTGGGGCCACTAGAGCAAATCGACGATCAACGGGAGGGCCTTTACTTGCTTTACTTACTAAATGCTCTCCCCAGGGCCAAAGAGTCTATTGTGGGGTGGGGGGGGTGGGGGAAGGTACTTTCAGAGGTTCAAGATCCAGCAACGTCAGGAGTGACACCACCCCCCTGCAGAGAGCCAGGAATAAGCCCTGAGCACCCCTGAGTGTGGCCCCAAAACCAAATAATAAATAAATAAAATTTCTAGGAGCACACGAGCTCTCGGGCCCAGCCATGTGCAGTGCTGCCGGGAAGTGCACTCAACTCTGATTTCAAGGGGTGGCTGGGAAGAGCTTGACAGCCTTGGGGGTCTCCAACAAGACCTGGGCTCAAACCCCCTCCACCAGGAGCAGCCCCCAAGCACCACGCCTGGAGTCCCTGAGCACTGCCAGGTGAGCCCCTCAGTACCAAAGAGCAAAAATAAAAACTAGGAAAGGCGGGCGGTGGTGTTCCCTGAGCCTCCTGGCCTGAGTGGTGGGGCACGCACGCGCTTCCTGGGCCCGAGACAGCTCCCTGAGGAAACCAGCCCGGGAGCGAACGGCTTCTTTCAGCCAACCGTGGAGACGAACGAGACTGCGAGTTCAGGCGCCGGAGCAGGGAGAAAGCAGCACCCCTGGTATGGGGGGAGGCGGTGCTGAGGGGCTGGGCAAGGTCGGGGCCACAAGCTGAACTCAGGATGTTGATGCCAAAGCCTCTGCCCTGCGCGTGGTGTGTGAGGCCCCAGGCTCCATGCCAGCAAGGCCAGCCCCTCTGTGGGAGCCTGGTACCTCAGAGAGCAACTCAGCCAACAAGCGAACCGGGAGGCTCCCACAGGGCACGCCCGGACCTGTGTGCATGTATGTATGCATGCACGTACGTTCCTCTGGGCATGTCTACACACACCTGTGTGCACACGCGCATTGTGTCTATGCAGGTACGTGCCTGTGTGTACACACCCATAAGCCTGTGTATATACGGTATGCACTACGTGTACATGTATGAGTGGCTGTGAGTGTGTGAACGGTTGTGTGTGCACGTATGGAATTACATTGTCGAGGTATACTTCCATGAAGCCACACAGACTCATTCTATATTCCTGTCATATGTGCTAACGGTGATGTGCAGTGTAGGAGTGAGCTCCGCCCTGCGTAAAGATATGCAAGGCAGGGGCCAAAGGGCTGGAGAGCGAAGCCCCAGCGCTGCCCAGGCTCAATCCCGGAGGCCGCCAGGAAGAATCCCGAGCACAGAAGCGAGAGAAAGCCCTGGGCTCTGCCAGGTGTGACCCCAGAACAGAACAAAACAAGACAGCGGGGGGAGGCTGGAGATACGGCTCAGGCGTGGGGCTCTTGCTCGGATGTGGGAGGCCCCGGCTCAACCCCAGCACTGCAAACGGCCCCTTGAAGCACTGCAGGGTGTGGCCCACAGTCAAGCAGAAAAACAAAACCAAATTCCACAAATGGGCTGGCTCACGAGGGAAGGAGAGGGGCTTCTGAGTCTGCTCCCCTCCTGAATGGCGAGGCGAGGGGAAGGAGGAGTCGGACGTGAGGATGGAGGCAGGGCAGGGAAACCTGGTGGTGGTCGAGCAAGACAGGACTGGCCCCAGGCCTGTGCCCACGGCGCGCGGCCTCCTGGCTCCCGTTCCCATGTCGTCTGTTTTGTATCTTCCGTTGCACACACACTCACTCCCTCCTCTTCCGCATCGAGGGTCAATGCAGGGAGCAGAGGGGGCGGCAGGAAGCGCAGCCCCCAGCAAAGCCAGTCCCCCGGGACACATCTCCATCGTGGGCCCGTTTCCCTGTGGGCAATATCTCAGGACACCCTTGCACATTCAGACACACTTTAGTGTTTAGGACTCAGAGAGACATGAGGGTAGAAGCCACGAGGCCCCAGCTTTGACTTGCGGCCCCGCAATGGACAGAAGTCGAGGCCCCTCTGCAAGTCGACAGGGGTGCAGAGGGACAGGAGGGAGCAGGGAGGGACGGAGAGAGCAAACACGCAACGCCAAGCGCCAAGCGTTCCCCAGAGTCCCTGGGTCCTGCTCTGACCCTCCGACGCCCCCTTCAGCTCCCCCACTTCAGCCCTAAGGCGGCCTGAGCCCTGAGCACCCGAGGAAAGGCCCATCCCTGCTCCTGTCACCGGTGGTGGCTGGGAAGCCACTCGCCTGCCCCCCGGAGCTGCTCAGCCCACCCAGTCCTGCTCCGCCTCTCACCCCTGGGGCCGTGGGAGTCTGTGGGGGCCCGAGCACCGCGCGGGGTGGGGGGAGCTTCTTACTAGTCCCACGCGGCTGAGCCTGCTGCTCACGGATGAGGCCACGGAGCTCACGGAGCTGAGCGAGGAGGCCGACGGGCGGCGCTTCAGGCTGGCGGGGGTGGTGGCCATCACACGCCTCCCGGGGGCCGCCTTGGCCTTGGCCGGCGTCGTGGAGGGGAAGCCGATCTTGGTGACTTTGTGAATGGGAGCAAACAAGCCGTACTTGGGCTGACACTGGAAGTACCTGCGACAACGAGGAGGGGGGACAAAAGACCCCTTTGGCAAGAGAGACAGGCGCCGACCGAGGCGTCCACTGAGTCCCACAGTCTCACACGCCCACAGACTAACACGCTCCCACAGCCCCACACTCCCACACACTCACACCCCAACAAACACTCCCACACTCTCACACCCCAACCAACAGTCCCACACTCTCACACTCCCACTCACCCCAACAAACACACTCACATCCCAACCAACACTCCCACATTTCCACAGCACCACACTCACACACACTCACTCCCCAACAAACATCATACCCTCACACAGCCCCCCCCCACACTCTCACCCAACAAACACACACTCACACCCCAACCAACACAAACTCACACTCATACTCCAACCAACACTCCCACACACTCAAACCCCAACAAACACACACTCACACCCCAACAAACACACACTCACATCCCAACAAACACTCCCACACTCACCCCAAGAAACACACACACTCACAACCCAACCAACATTCCCACACTCTCACACTCCCACTCCAACAAACACACACACCACAACAAACACTCCCACATTTCTACAGCCCCACACTCACACATACTCAGTCCCCAACAAACATCATACCCTCCCACAGCCCCACACTCACACACACTCTCACCCAACAAACACACACACTCACACCCCCAACCAAAACTCCCAAACACTCACACCCCAACCAACACACACTCACACTTACACCCCAACCAACACTCTCACACACTCACACCCCAACAAGTACACACTCAGCCCCCAACCAACACTCCCAAACTCTCACACTCCCACACCAAACAAACACACACTCACACCCCAAAAAACACTCCCACATGTCCACAGCCCCAGTCACTCACACTCACTCCCCAACAAACACTCCCACACTCACCCCAAGAAGCAAACACTCTCACACCCCAACCAACACTCCCAAACTCTCACACTCCCACCCCAACAAACACACACACCACAACAAACACTCCCACATTTCCACAGTCCCACACTCACACACACTCACACCCCAACCAACACTCCCACACTCCCAATGTCCCACACTCACAAACACACCCCCTAAAAAACACACTCACACTCACACTCCCACAGTCACACACTCATATACACACCCCTCATACATATATATCCACACCCCAACAAATACTCCCACATTTCCTCAGCCCCACACTCACACCCCAACAAAAATACACTCACACTCACACCCCAACCAACACTCCCACACTCCCACAGCCCCACAGTCACACACACGCACACCCCAACCAACACTTGCACGCTCTCAAACCAACAATGACACGCTCTCATTCCCTCACAAACATGCTCACACCCCCACCAACACTCACATGCTCATGCCCTCACCAACACTCTCACAGCCCCACACTCACACGCTCACATACACACACCCTCATACATACATATCCACACTCCGAAGCACACACATTCATACGTTCACACGCACACTCCCTCGCACGCCTCCCACCCGCACCGCGCAAACCAAGGGCGATTCCAAGCAGCCTCCCCAGAATCTGAAGGGCGACAGCAGGCCCGGGGGGTTCCTGCGGGCCGAGCACAGCTGCATGTGGGAGCCCCAGGCTGTCCCCACATCCCTGCAGGGTCCCCGAGTGCCACCGGAAGTGGCCCCGCCTAAGAAGCAAGTGAAGTGGCCTGCAGTCCCCTCAGCGCCTCCCGGGCACCGTGCATTGCCCCAGGCTGTGTGTGGGGGGGGGCAGGAGGACCCACCTCGTTCCGGCCACGGCGCCATCGTTCTTGCCCAGCGGCTTGTCCAGCTCCACGCCACACCAATCCCCCTTGGCGAAGTCCATCTCCCCGAGGAAGCGCACCACACCGGCCTCCACGCCTCCCACCTGCCGGAGGGACGCGGGTCAGGCACCCTGGACTGTGCACAGTGCCCCCACCCCCGCAAAGGAACATTCTGGCTTCAGAGTAGGGATTTCCTTAAGAAACCTCAAAGGTGAAGGTGCCACTTCTCCCCGCAACCCCTACAGCGTGAGCAGACGCTGCTGCTCAGTGTCCATGCAAGGCAGCGGCGTTCACACCCACTCGCTGACACCGGTGGCCTGGCTGACCATACCCCCGGGAATCTCTGACCCAGGCCAGCCACCTGGTGTGGCGAGGGGGTCGCTGCCCCGCAGGTGTGGGAGCGGAGCCGTGGCAACCCCAACGCTGGAGAACAATTAAGCCAGAAACCAGCTAAAGAAAAATGACTGTTCTCATATCTTAGCGAACTTCCATTTTCCAGTTCTCCTTCACTATGCCTTGGCTTCACGCTTGGCCCCTGGGACGCAGAGCAAAACAGAATCACAGCGTTGGACACTGACGGGAATGCTGACAAATAGAGCTGGAGCACTGGGGGAAGGGCACTTGCTTTGTGTGCGGCCACCCTGGGTTCAATCCTCAGCACCCAAGATGGTCCCCCTAGCCCGCCAAGACTGATTCCTGAGTGCAAAGCTTGAGTGACCCCAAAACCAAAAAGTCAAAACAGAAAGGAGAGAGAGAGAGAGAGAGAGAGAGAGAGAGAGAGAGAGAGAGAGAGAAAGAGAGAGAGAGAGATATCTCAACTAATAATGCCCGAGAGCGCGGTTTTCTTTTTTCGGGTCTGGGGCAGGACTGGGTTCACGTGCTCGGGGGTCACTCGCAGCACGAGGGGTAGCAGCGTCACCCAGGACTGTCTCTGCGAGTCCTGAAGTGCCATCTGCAAAGGCCCTGGCACAGCCTCCGTGGCCAGGCGTGGGCCCTGGGCACTGTGAGTGTGACAAGGAATAAAAGAACAAGAGACAGGTGGCTGGGGTGGCGGCCCTGGGCTGAGAAGAGGCTGCAAAGTTCCTGTCTCACAGCTGGTCAACATGCCGTCCCCGACCCGGAAACAGCCTCCTCTAACAGGACAACTGGAAGCCAGTCAATTCTCTCAAGACCCTGGCGTCATATCCTGGAAATATCATCTGCCCCAAACTGCTGCAAGCCTGTCTCCAGAACATTCTGTCAGAGCTCAGCTGGAGAGAAGGGAAGTGATCTCCCAAGCTCAGGAGAACCACCGCACATCAGCCCGGAGAAGCTCTTCACGGTTGGGCTCTGAGACGCCACAGGACGGACAGAGTGACCTCCCGCTCTGAGACACCATAAGACTGACCAGAGCGACTGACTGTTCCGCTCTGCGACCCCTGCCTACTTGCGAGCACAGACGGGACTTGAGGTCAGAGCTGGGCATTTCCAGTGACCCCAATGAGGGTCCCTGAGTCTCCAAAGAGAACCAAAGTAGCACAAGCATGGGGGCAACCTGTCCACTGCCAGTGACAGGGAGTGCCAGGGGCAGGGGACCGTCTTCCACAGGCCTAAGTCTGGAACAGCCATGTCAGAGCCTTCGAAGGGCTCCTCGGAGGTCAGTCCCGTAAACATCGGGGTCAGCTGGCGCAGAACCTAGACTTCCTGTGCGCAGGGAAGAATGGGGCAAAGGGCAGGAGGCCCTTTGGAGAGCCGGGAGGGCGCCAGCCCTGCAGGGGAGCTTCGCCTCAGTGCCCCGAGGCCAGCCCCCACTCGCCACGGCCTCCTGACCCCGGCTGCATTAGGCCGTGGAGCGCCAAGCAAACCTTCCTTGAATTAGGAAAAAGACCAAAGAAAGTGTTTGGGTTTTCTTTTTTCCCCCTTCTTCTTTCAGAAAACAGCCCTTATGCTGGTTGTGGTCCCCCAAAAAAACCCTCAAAAACTTTTTTTTGAAAGGCGTGCTCTAGCTGAGGTATGGAGCGATGGAACAGCACAGTGGGCAGGGCGTTGGCCTTGCACACACCTGCCCAGATGTGGTCCCTGAGCACAGGGCCAGGAGTCAGCCCTGAGCACCACCACCAATAAATAAATAACTAATCAGAGTTATTCACCGCAAAGCCAGTGGTGGTGTCCCCGCTCCCTTGTTCCAACGACACTGGTGTCCCTGTGTCCGGGTGTGGACGGTTGTAAATGCAAGTTAAAAAAAAAAAGTCTTTTTTCTTCTTTGGGTCTTTGGCTCACACCTGGCGATGCTCAGGGGTGACTCCTGGCTCTGCACTCAGGAATCATTCCTGCGATGCTTGGGGGACCCTATGGGATACCGGGGAACCCAGGTTTGCTGAGTGCAAGGCAAACACCCTCTCTGCTGTTCTACTGCTCCAGCCCCCCAAACAGTCTTTAAACCGTGAGTCTCCTCCAGCTCCAATTCCCTCCCCGTGTTACTCTTTGGCCATCCCCGAACCCCGACCGTGACCCTCCAGAACTCTCCGAGGGCCACCCTGCGCCTGCAGGCGGGTCACCTCACTGCTCTCCTCTCCGGCCTCCACAGCTCGGACACTGGCCTGGCGGTGGCCATCCCTGTGGTCCCCGGGAAGCCACTGGCTCCGGGCCAGCCCCCAGTCTGTCCAGAGCCGCCCACCTCAGACGTCCCTGAGGGGACTTTTCCCGGCCGCTTCCCACGGGTTCTGAAAGCGTTATTGAGTGCTTCTGCTGGGGGAGAACAGTTGTCTACAGCCAAGCGCCTCTGCTTTGGGGACCTGTGCAGAGGAATGGGCTTGGGGTGGACTGAGGATGCCACGTGCAGGGACCTGGTGACCCCCACCAGAAACTCATCTCATGGGGGTGCCCCCTCGCCCCCACCTTCCAGTAGCTGCTCAGAGAAACACAAGAGCAGGTGCTGTGTCTGAAGATCGAGCAACCAAGACAGCAAAACATACTCTTGAGAATGTTCGGGAGACGGGTCCCGACCCGTGGCCTACTCAGGGTCCATCCCCGACACCCCAGATGGTCCACTGAACCCTACCAGGAGTGATCCCTGAGTTCACCACCAGGAGGAAGCCCTGAGCACGGCCAGGTGTGGCCCAAACACCAAACCACACACGTCTGGAGAGACGGCTCAGGGCTTGCGCACAGCCGGGCACGGAATGGCCCGGAGCGGCTCGGGGTGAGCCCTGTGACGCCCCAAACACAAACATCAGAAACCAGAGAAATGGAACCGATTTCCAAATTTGTTCGTTGGTTTGTTTTCTGAGTCACAGTCAGAGTGCTCAGGGCTTACTTCTGGCTTGGTGCTCAGGGATCACTATGGGATGTGCTTGGGAGACTGTACATGGGACCAAGACTTAAACCCCAGGTCAGAGGCGTGCAAAGCACGCGGCCTCCCCAAGGCATGACCCCTCCATCCTGTTTTGGCTAAACTGGTAAAACTGGCAGCATCCCCGCACGCATCCATCACGCTGGAAACTGCAGGACCAGGCGTTCCGGCTGCTCGTCCTTCCACCCAAACCGCGAGTCTGCAAAACCTGATGGACCAGACAGGTGAATGGACACCCACCCGCGACCGCTGCCCTCGGCACTCACCAGCACCCGGTCCCCGAGCTTCAGCTCCTGCTCCCCGTTCTTGAGGGAGCCAGTCTCCGAGAGGTTGGAGATGGACTCGCTGGCCGTCCTGGTCAGGTTGCTGATGTGAGGGGCGGCCGGTGCCTCCTTCGCGGAGGGCTGGGGTGCCTTCGGGGCGGCGGCAGGGGCCGGGGAGGCCGACAGGGGCGGTGTGGCCTGGGCAGCAGGCGCTGGCTGCAGGCCGTTGGTCTCATCGTCGGCCTGCCAGCTCCTGCTCAGCTTGGACGGCCGGGTGAAGATGCCCTTCAGCGGCTCGCACTGGAAGTAGCGCACACCCGCCACCGAGCCGTCGTTCTTGCCGATGGGCTCGTCCAACACGATCCCGGCCCACTGACCAGGGGCAAACTGGGTTTCCCCGAGGAACTGGATGAATCCAGGCGTGTTCCCCTTCACCCAGACTCGTTCCCCGACCTGGAAGTCGTCCACAAACTCCTCCTGCGTCTCCGAGGAGGGGGCGCTGGGGGTTTTCTCCCCAGGCACGGACTTCTCAACGGGAGCAGCCGCTGGAACAGCAGAAAGGGTCAGAGGGTCAGAAGAGTCAGGAAGGGCCTGTCCAGGTACAGTTAAAGTGTGGTGGGGGGGGAGGGACACCCAGCAGTGCTTGGGGCTTCTCCCAGCCAATGCCGGGGGCTGCTTGTGGCGAAGCCTGGCCAGGCCCGCCGTGAAGGGGACGTGCCTACCTACTGCAGCATCCCAGGCCACAGTCATATTTGGGCAGCTGAGGGGAAATCTTTGGACACACCCCGTGATGCTAGGGACCAAGCCAGGCGAAAGCTCCAACCCAGTGTCTTATTTCTGCTGTGCCCACTGGCCCATCTTCTTTTTCTTTTGGGGGGGAGCACCCCAGCCAGTCCGCAGGGCCTATTTCTGGCTCTGCGCTCAGGGTCACTCATGTGAGGTTGAGGCTGGAGAGTCACATGGGGTGCCGGTTGCCCTCCCCACTGTCCTGTGGCTACGGCCGGCAATGAGGCCCTTTAGTCCAGGTGAGTCCACCTCCCTCAGCCTGTCCCCAAGCCCGGGCGAGGGGGTAGCAGTTAGGAGGGAGCGTGTTGGTCGCCTCAGCTGACACCAGTTGCCGTGACACTAAAGTCACAGAATGTGACACTCGTGTGTGAGAGCTGTCCCCAGAGCCATGAACGTGCCTACAGCTCAGGGAGCCCTTCCCGGGCGAGGACTTGGGAGGGGGTTCCCGGGTGGGAATGAGTCTCCCCTGGCCCGGGCTGAGCGCACTTACCGGCCGAGGACGCCTTCAGGGCCCAGCTCCCATGCTTGAGGATCTTGGTGGGGGCCTTCAGCCCACTGGGCCTCAGCAGACTCATGGTCAGGAGGTCAGACGCTGCCGCGGCCACTACCGGACCCTGACCATCGAGCCCACTGTGGGGCCTTCTGAGGCGCACTCGTTCTCAGGGATAAATCTCTGAAGAGCAGAGGAGAGAGTCTGTCTCAGGGGAGCGACCACAGCAGCTTCCGGAGCCCAGAGAGCTGCCAGTCTGACACTCGCCACCCCGAGTGCGACCCCCAGCCTCCCGCACAGCCCCCTGAGTCCACCAAGTGTCATTCCTGCACAAAAACGCAATCCCAAACAAACAAACAACTGCAGATTCGGGGCCAGAGGGCAGAGGGGCCAGGTACTTGCCCTGTGGGCAGCTGACCCTCACGCCCTCCCTGGCATCACACCCACCCCCAAACACATTCAGGAGCCAGAAATCGTCCCTGAGCACTGCGAGTGTCACTGACCACCTCCCCGTCCAGACACTGACTAGCCGGGAGGCGACTCAGCAGTGATCGCTGGTCTTGTGTGTGCGTGTGTGCGTATGTGTGTGTGTGAGGCCCGGGGTTACACACAGAAGCTAAGGCAAGCAACAGGCACACTTTTTTCTATTGGCTGAGAACTGCCAGGGAAAAGGGCTCAGCAAGACTGCGCCAAAGGGGGGCTGGAGAGATAGCACAGTGGTAGGGCATTTGCCTTGCACGCGGCTGACCCAGGTTCGATTCCCAGCATCCCATATGGTCCCCTGAGCTCTGCCAGGACTGATTCCGAGTGCAGACCCAGGAGTAAATCCTGTGCATCACCAGGTGTGACCCAGAAAGAAAAAAAAAATTGCGCCAAAGGGGAGCGAAGGAGGTTTTGGCGTTTCCTTCGTTCCCTGTGAGACTGCCCAAGTTTGATAACCACAAGCCAGTATTAACTCCATTTCTTAACCCACAGAACTGAGGCAGACAGGTGGATGGGGGAAGCGTCGCCATGGCAATGGAACTCCGGGGAAGTCAACAAAAGCTTCATGGCCACCAAAAGACCACCTGAGGGCACGGGACCCAAGGTCTGGTCAAAATTAACCCACATTAGGAGGCCCAGAGCAGGCTGGACCCCCCGAGGGAATAGGAACAAAGGCCAGGAAAGGAATTTCTAAGAGGACCTTGGACCACTCAACTCTACCCCCTTGGCAACCACCCTAGCAACGGACTCTAGGTAGCTAGAAACTCCCACCAGGGGCAGCCTGGGGAAAACCCGAGATTAGGCCCCTTGAACCAAGGGAGGGCGCTCATGTGTGCCCGAGCCCAGGGACTGCTCTTGCCTACGAGGTCGGTCATGTCACGGGCTTCTCCCCTCCTGAGGTGTGGACTTTCTCGAACCGAACGCAACCTAGCAACCTAACGTGTTCAGTGGCTTTCTGCGCCTCTGGAGAAGCCGCACTCTCTCTCGAGCCTGTTACTCCCTCCCTCATTTCCCCTTCCTAAAAGCCTCCAAATAAAATGTTCCTGCTTCAAGCTCATCTCCTGAAATGCTTTTCTGCGAGAAGGACAAAGGCCCGGGGGCCTGAGGAGGTCGAGGATCGACTCCCTTTCCCTGAAAAGGGCAACCCCTCACTCCGGCCCGAGACCCCGGGAAGGCCTAGTGGGCGTCGTGGGGCTGGCAGGGCTCATCGCGCTCATCAGTGCCAGCGCTCCAGCCAGTCCCGGGGGAGTGACATCTTCTCCTCTGCTTCTCATCAGCCCCCCATGAGGGCCCACTAACTTCAGAGTCATTCCATATTTAATAGAAAAGTCCGCAGGGGGCAGAGAGGCAGGACAGTGGGGAGGGCACTTGCCTTCTATCCAGTTGTCCTGGGCTCGATCTCCGTCAGCACAGGGACGTTAGCGGGCCAGGGTGACCCCTGGGCACAGCCAGGTATGGCCACCCCACCCCACCCCACCCAACCCCCAGCCCAACCCCCCAAAATATATATATAACTACTAAAAAAACTTAAACAAACTAAAGATTAAAAACTATCATACACTAAAGAACTGTTAGAGAAAAAAGCCGCCCGCACGCGGGGAAAAAGCCCAGAGACTCAGATTCACCTGTGTCACACTGCACTCGCAGCTTAGAGAACTGAGCTCTGCCAAACAGGCTCGTGCCAGTCTCCTGCAGAGACTGAAAATGGCACTTGGAGTCTAGAACGTTCCAAGGTAGAATGAGAATTCAGCAAGGAGGAGGGCATCATGGGCCCTTCTTAAAGGGGCAGGCGCCACCCTTCGTGACGCCAGGGTCCGGCTGAGGCTCCGGAGGGCTGCCCTGCAGACGCCAACACTAGCTGGCCAATGTCCCTCTGGTCCCTGCGGGGCCCAGTTCTGGACCCCTGGGCCCTGAGAAAGTGGTTTCAGAAAACGTTTGACAAATGTTTGGCAGTTACAGATCTCCAGCTGAGGTCATTCGGCATCCCCCGAGTGGGACCTGGACCCAGTGACCATGCCCAGGGCCCTCCTCAGGAGCCAGGCCATAAAATCTGTGGACGGGAGGGGGGGGCGAGGGGCACGGCGACAGGGCAGAGGCCCTGAGCCCGACCCTGACAGCCCTGCTCTCTGTGACCCCAGTGCTGTGAGCAACACCTGCCGCACCGTGGCCAGGGAGTGGCCCAGCCCACTAAGGACTGAGAGCTGTACAGAGGAGTATGGCCTGGCCTGCTCGGATGGGAGCACAAGCTGAATGAGTGCGGGTCCCCTCGAGGATGAGTGAGCAGGACCGGGGGAGTGGTGGGGAGATGGGGAGGTCGGAGTGACCTAACCTGGGGGCTCAGGACGGGACACCTGGACGGGACACCTGGACGGGACACCTGGCGGTGCTCAGGGCCGACTCTGATCCAGTCATGGGGGCTCATCCTGGCAGGACCAGGGGGGGGGGGGTGACGTACAGGGTGGGGTGGGGTCAGCCACAGGCAAGGCAGGCTCCTTGGCCCTGGGCTACCCTTCCGGTCAAGGATACCTATTTTCTTTCTTTCCTTTTGTTTTTTGGGACACCCGGCAGTGCTCAGGGTTACTCCTGGGTCTGCACTCGGGAATCACTCCTGGCGGTGCTCAGGGGACCTATGGGGTGAGCCATGCACCAGGCAAGCGCCAAGTCTTGATGCCAAGGTGCCCACGAAACACAGTGTGCAACAAGGGACTCTACAGAGAACGTCAGGGCCAGCAAACGCTACGAGGAAGTCAATCAATTCTGAAAAAACACAAAAAGATGCAAAAGGAGGGGCTGAAGTGAGAGCACAGTGGGGAGGGGTTTGCCTTGCTCACGGCTGACCAAGGTTCGATCACCAGTCCTGAGCACTGCCAGGAGTAATTCCTGAGCATCCCTGAGTGTGACCCAAAAAGCAAAAAAAAAAAAAGAAAAAAACAGTGCGAAAGAAAATGTGTTTGAGCTTCACGCCCTACCGAGGTCACCAATTGCCCCCCACGAGCGGCTCTCCGGCACGGCCACGGCCCCAGAAGCACAAGGACTTAACACAGAGAACCAGCAGCTTGGAGCAGAAAAGCAAATGGACTATGTGTTAAACCGCACCATCATGACTGACCGGAGGGGAAAGGGTGTTGCCCCCTTCGCCCTCTCCTCTCTGGAAAGAAAGGTGGCGGCCACACGGGAGCCTGGTGGACAGCAGGTTTGAGCCGGGGGTCGGGGGCGGCAAAAACCTCACGAGAAGGGGGGCGTTCCGGCCCGTTCTTCACGCCCTACCGAAGTCGCCAGTTGCCCCCCACAAGCGGCTCTCCGGCACGGCCACGACTCCAGAGCACAGAAACCAATCTCTTAATTATCTAACTTTTAATAGAAATACTTCCAGGGTTAATAAGTAAAATAGCAGATATCCAACCCAGCTGTAGAAAGCAAATCATTTCACAACGTTTTTTCAGCATGTCTGATTTGGGGGGGGGGGGGGGTTGTAAACTCTAAATAATAATGGTGCATCTTTTATCGAAACAATGAATCGAGTCAAAGTAGACAGAGTGTTAACTAGAACTCATCTGCCTCACAGGAATTGGAAGGGATGGGAGGTGGGGTTCTATTGGGGTTCGCGGTTAAAAATAAGTATTGGTAAAGGGAAATGTGTTTGATATTCACACGACTGAGACCTAAACCTGAAAGCTCTGTAACTTTTCCCACAGTGATTCAATAAATAAATAAATTAAAAAAAAAAAAAGAAAAAAAAGAAAATGTGTTTGAGCCTCACTGTCTCCCTGAGACTTGAGCACTCAGTGCCGTGTGTGAGCCCAGTAGAGTCTCCGGCTTGAACAAGCCCCGACCCCCACACCCCCATGCTCCTGTGTTTGGACCGTGACCCTAAATCCTGTCATGGGATCACGTTTGTCCATGACAAAGACGCTAGCAGGCTCACGCCCCAGAACGTCCCTGCTTCACACAGGCGTGGCACACAGGTCCTGGCCTGCTAGCGGCCGGCAGTGATTCGGCAGGAAGCAGAGGTGTGAGCCTGAACGTGGGTCAAGTCCGTTCCTTCAGCTTGGAGGGGAGGAATGTCCGAGAGGGGGTTTTGAGCACTGCCTCACAAGCATGAGGTCCTGAGTCCAAGCCCCCGGGGTCACACGTGCACCTGGCACAAAGCCGGCACAAACCCGGCAGCTCTGCTGTCCCAGCACCACGCAGGAAGGGGGGTGACCCCAGGGGGAGGGCCACCGAGAGAGGAGGTGGACACCACAGAAAAGAGGAGGGAACACAGGACAGGAGTTGAGGGCTGCAGGGTCGGGAGCACCGGGTAGAGAGCAGCCCTGGGGAGCAGGAGGCCAGGCGGGCGCCCCTTGTCACTGGCCACTCGAGGCAGTCGCACAAGCTGTGTGCAGACCCACGAGGCTGACAGGGCGCCAGGGACAGGGCAACCCCAGCAAGGATTTTTCTTTAAGTTTTGGGCCATGGGGCCAGAACTCTAGTACAGCGGGGAGGGCGTTTGCCTTGCACACAACTGACCCGGGTTCAATCCCGGCATCCCATAGGGACCCCAGAGCACCTCCAGGAGTAAGTCCTGAGTGCAGAGCCAGGAGTGACCCCGGAACATGTCCAGGTGTGACCCAAAAACAAAACAA